ATTATTAGCTTCAGCCTTACGCCATTTACACCAACTGTCTTCGCCTTCTGGACAAAATTGATGCTGAGGGTTTTCATCAGAAGAACATTTGTGATAGTACGTTGCCCAAACTTCCTTTCTCATATCTTCAAGCGAATCTGGATGGCGTCGAATTGCTAATCCGTAGAATTTTGTAATTTCTTGGATAACTTTATCAGTAAGTTTACCTGCTCCTTTTCCTGTTTAAGTCTGTAGAAACGTGTCTAAACTTGTATAAACAAATATATTAATAAAAGGGAGGCCAGGTATAAAGCCGACGGTACACAATAGGCCCGGTCTCTAACTGCCAACTCACCGCTCCGAACCGCTCTTTCTTTTACCTGCTGTATCTTTAAAACGACTTCGAATTTTCTAAAATCGCTTTACTACCGTATTCTAGACATGTTAAGGGAGCAATTTATGAAAAAAAAATCGATTTTTTCAACCCATCACATAGGAAGACCCATTAATAAATATCCGCTGTATTTTCCTAACGTACACCAAAACGAAAAATTCTTGACATCGTCGTATAAAACCGTTCTTAGTGTTGCTTGAACGCCGCGAAATGCACTCAAAGTTATTAGACTTCATAAGTAAGCTCTAAGTGAAAAAGCGCCATTTAGAAAGCTTACCCAACTGATGTTAATAAGTCGCGGTTTATTTACTCAAGTATTAGTGATGTTGGGGATGATTTTGTTACTTTACTATTTTAGATTGCTTTTATCTAATAAACTGTTAGTATTTTAAGTAAATGTTTTTACTGTTTCAACCAATCTTCATTAATAATTTAGTTCAGTTGTCTATATACCAGAAATAATAAAAATGTCATAGGACAATACACACAGCGCCATCTAGTCCCAAGCTAAGCAGACCTTGTGTTATGGGTATTAGACAACTAATACAAATACTTTTTTTTGTTAATGCATAGATACATAGTATTCATAAAAACACGCAGACCAATACAAACAATTATACTCAATATTACAAATCTTTTCATCATGCGAGGAATCGAACCCACCATCAAGCCTTTAGCAACACATAGCTGTATTTGATCCCTAACTAAGCAAAGCTTGTACTATGAGTACTGAATAATTGATATATCAGTGTCTAAATAGGGTTTTTTATTAACACATATATATAATATACATACAAAACCCAAACCAATACAAACAAACGTACACATAAATAGAAATATTTGTACCGTACGAGGAATCGAACCCGCGACCGTTAAACTGTTGGACCACCGAGACTAAAGTACAAATACCTACTAAATTTCTGGTTTCGCCTTGCGTTTAGCTAGTATTTCTTTGTCTTAAACGATCAATCGTTTACTACATTTTTATGGCGATAGTGATGTACGGGCCCCATGAGGCCGTGGCTATAAAGACAGCCCTGGCTGCGGCCGGCCAGATAAAAATATATAGGCTCGCACATACTTGTAAAATGTGTTACCGTCAACAGCAATCGTTCGCCAACATACCCCGTTAAGGGAAGGGAATTTGGTAATGAGGACTAATAACCCCATTGCTAACAATGTACCATGTCAGGTCGACCTCCACGCGGTTCCCCCTGGAAACTTTCGTGATAAATTCTTGGTGAATTTACCACGATGTGCTAACTGACCTGATCTCATGTTCATCTTATCATCGTCCACTGGTGCCCCGCCAGCGTAAACCGTTAGCGCAGGCGGGTGCATCATTCCATTATCATCCATAACAAAAAAAACATACGCGTTAAAGCAGATTTCAGTGACAACAACGCCATCTAGTTTCTGAGTGAGATAACAACAACAATATATTTAATAAATTAATATAATTTGTACCTATAAACTTCAAGTAAGTGAATTTTAAATCTGTGCCTACACATGTAATATTTCTGTCAACATTTCCATTAATATCTCTCCAGATAACATAGGTATAAGTTAAATATAAATTCAGTCCACGTTCCGACTCCGCGTCGAATGTACGCGTTACTAATAAGCCGTGTACACTATCTAATAAACTTACTAATATGCAATAAATAGTACAATTATTTCACCTGTATACTCGCTACCTATGTTATGTAACACTATAAACAAATAAATTATGTAGCGACACCACACCACATCATATATAACGCTACAGTGATGAGGTGATACTACAAATCCAATTATAAATATATAAAGTATATGTTCTGAAAGTTAAATATAACCATACTTATTTTGAGTACAAGATATAAGTTTCGATTTGACCATATCGTTTTCATCTACCTACGTACATACAAGTAAAAAAAGTCTTCGTGTATCGGTGCTGCTGCCGCCCCGTAACAAATGCTATTTATTTTTATAGAAGATCATTATTATCACAATTCACAAATAATGGTGAACATAGCGATTTTAACACATTGTGGTCATATATGAAATTAAGGTTTCTTATACAAAACAATGGAGTTCTCTTGAACCGTGTCTCATTAACAAATTACCTTCTGACGGTCTATGGTGCGTTTTTTAAAAGACAAAGAAAGTTAAATGAACTTATTTAATTCTAATTACAATTAAGAATCTCTATTGATTTGACTTATAACTATATTAAACTTATTCGTGTGTTCTCGTACCTCTTGGATGCCGTTCTTTTGAGTCATCAACTGTTGGAAAGTAATGCGACATACTTTCCAAGAACAATCGCTGTATCCATGACGACTGTGTACCTACAAGTAGTAGTTGTATGAACCTAGGGGGTTTGTACCCGTAACAAACACGTAATTAAGGTTATGTTTACATAAGTTTGGTAATATCAATAATGTTATTTTGACAAAATACGTATACATGTACGTACGTATGTAGATACGTAAGAATCCATTTGAATATTATAAACGCGAAAGCGTATCTATAGCCGTAACCGATCAGCCATTTAAATGTGTAATGGTAGCAATACCATTACACGAACAGAATATAGTGAAATTTGAACGTTTGGAAGAGTGATGATAGCACATACATTACGAAATGGACATCGCCTATCTCTTACCTCATAAAATAAGGAATGTCGCGGGTAACAACTAGTATTTGTGCAAAAGCCACCTCCATTTCTTTTATTTGTACATTTTTTTTCTGTACTTCATGTATGCTATATATTTGTAATTGGTGAATAAAGAATTTATCTATTTTACAAGACAGTTAGAGGTGTTTATGATGATCACGATAATGTCTGACGTCGCACATAACCTTCCCAGAACCACAAATCCGGGCCATAAAAAATAACAATCGCTTGCTATTAAGGCAAAATGTCACCCTTTGATATTTCAATATACTCATATACCACTAGCGAACCCTTCCAAGTTTGGTAGGGATGAAACAATACACGTTACATAATATGTTTAGGTTTTTGTAATAGGTGATAATGGAATATTGTACCGGCCTACACTGGTGGAACATCATAGGATACGCCAAGTCTATTAGGTCATTGTAATTTTTTATGAATTATAATGGAATGGTGCACCCGCCTGCGCTAACGGTTTACGCTGGTGGGGCACCAATGGAGGATGATAAAATGAGGATGAGGTCTGGTAAGTTGGCCAATGGTGGTAAATTCACCAGAAATTTATCACGATGGTTTCCAGGGGAAACCGCGTGGATGTCAATCTGACATGGTACTTTAGGGCAATGGGATCATCAGTCCACATTATTAATAATTCCCTTCGCCATAATACCGCAACTATTAAGATATTTGAGACAAATATTCAGTCCGGAAACCTTATCACCGCCTACTGGCGGTGATAAGGTTTCCGGTGAGTAGAAGTGTTACATATATTAATATAAATCCATAAAGAACTTGAACAGTAATGAAACAATATCGCTTTATTATCGTAAATATCGGCTATTTACAACCTTAGAAAATCGATTTGAATGTTGTGAATACTTTATAGGAAAAGGTACGTCCAACAAGTGACAATGGCCTACTTCTTACAACCATTATAAGTATTTGAAATTCTTACATATCTGATTAACTCACCGCGGTTTTGAACAGACTGTAAATAAGTAAAAACATATTCTTCAGTTTTCCTAATTTAACATTTACTTTTCCAGTTTTATCTTACCACAGGAATACTTTCTAGAAAGTCGACTGTAATTACCACAGCATTTACTTCTTTTAGATATATTAACTAAAATTTTATTAATATTGTTATGTTTATTATTAAAAAAACATTAAGATAGCTTATATATATCATCTTTGTAATAATTCCTTATTCTAATCTATGAAAAATAGAGATTCCTACAATAAAGCCTACATTTTAAAGCAAAACAAATATAAATAAATTCTCCCCCAGGCATTTAAATTGCCGATCAAATTTTTTATACCATAACAATCATGTATACGACCCAGCTGATGGTAAACGGTTACCGTCGGCAATGAAAGCCTGAAACATTAATACCAAGGGTTTCACTTGCACGTTTTAATCCAGAAGGCAGTATTCTTTGACACGACACGTATTGTCATGTGTTTCTTCAATCTACATACCTACTAGACCATGTAAATTATTTTTATATAAATATTTATAATCTCTGTAAAATTCTTAAGTAAAATTTGAAATACTAATACAACAGTACTCATACTATTCTAGTAGAATCGCGAATCAACAGTTATGTATATGGGATTATAATATCATCGAGACCATACTTACGAGTAATTAGCAAATACAAATACTATTGACACTTAGCAAATAATGCTGTAAATATTCATCCGGAAACAGAAAAAAATCTAATACACCAAGTTACCATAAAATCACCTCGCATATGTTGAAAGTTTTATCGTAATCCGCCTATAGACAGCACACAGTTAAAGCAAACTATCGCAGGCAACCTGTATGAAACAGCAATAAAAACAAAGCCATTTTAAATCTCCGGCTAGAGAGAGACGTAATACAACTGAATATAGCCGGTCTTAATTTCTTGGCCCGCTACATTGGACTAATTAAACTCAATAAGAAAAGTGCAACGATATATCGACTTCTGAGTGTGCGAGTGAAACAGCACCGGTGGCAAGCTTCCAAGATGAATTTGATGTTTCGGAAGAACTTCAGCGGGGAGAAAAGCATCGGCTCGAGCGGCGGCGGTGGGGGGAAAGCGAGGGGGGCGCTAGGTGCAGGCAGGAATGCCAAGCGTCGTGATCGCGAACGCTACTCCTTCATGGAGGAGAATCACTACAAGACCCTGAAGACGCACTTATTCCTGTCGGCGGCGCCGCGCTCCAGCGCACAGTACAACGACGGCACAGGTAAAGTGGATAAACGCAGATACGAAGGAAAACCGTCAGGTGAGAGTGAAAAGGAAAGCGCGCGAGAAGTTCGCGTTGTTTTGTTTGTTGTTCAAAGTGGTCAAAACGTTATCGCTCTGGTGACTTCGCTCAAGATGAATATAATCATTGGAACTTGTCTATTCAATTGCATACACGGAACTATGTCGCACTAACGCATGATATCTTTAAAACTCACATCGTTTCTCAGTCATTAATAGCACGCCAGTCACGCCGGCAGTTCTATTAATACTTGACAGCCTGACGGACAAAATATTTATGATACGCAATTTCATATAACAACATTTTTGTTAATTGTAATCTGGACATTATTAAAGCATGTTCAGTCGATACCAGTGGAACCCGGATCGGCTGTTTTGGCACTTAACGTCCTGTCTATTTCAGTGACACTGCTATCGTATGTTTTCGTTGTATCATGTTATAACATTGAAACGTGACTAGAAAACGTCAATTTCTCCTCACCACAGTTTCGTAAGTATCTATAAATCGCAACTGAAACCTTGACCATTAGACGACAACTAAAACCATGTAGAATTTTCCAAGAATAGTGTTAGAAAAGAGCATCCAAATACACAACACATTGCACGTCTGCATAACGGTAGAGGTCCATACACAACAACAGACAAAGGTTAACATTAACTCAATAGGTATAGTAAGTTACTCTGGTCTGTTCGCAGAACGATGCGGTCCAGTTTTGGGCGGGGGCACGGGCCTGGATCCAGAGCCACCCCAACCGCTGGTGACCCGCGAGCCCTCCGTGTCTCTGATGCGATGGGAGCGGCCACCGGCCACCACTACGGACCGCCGCCGCACCGAACCAGTCTCGCTGGCGACACTCGAGCGGGACTGCTTCGTCATCCCGGCACATGCCCTTGATCGGTTCTTACCTGATGGTGTACCGGTAAGTAACTGAAAGTACGTAGTTGATTTTGTAACTAACACTTTTAATATATATGTCAGTACCTGGAATTGAAAGTACCGAATTAAGACAGGACGTAGAACAATGAGGCATTACAAAGTAAAAAAAACGGATAACATTACTCGTTTTGGAAATTGTAGTAGTTGTATTAAAAGTAATGCATAAAATATGCTACTCTGCTGGGTATGTTATGTGGAAACACTCTCAGATAAAAAATTTATTCAGTCAGAAAATGGAATTTTGCTGTAATTACGCATAGTTCCGCCTAGGCCTATGATATAGTTCTTGATTCTTTCTGTCTAACCCGTAAAGAAACTTGCGCCAAGTTATACTTATTCTAAACTATCCCTATGTAGGTACTGTACTGTCATAATTAAACTGACACAAAGGGCAGTTTTGTCCGAGTTTACGTGGCCAACGCAATTTTTACTGGATGTATCGAGTATATAAGATATATAGAATAACATCACATATTCAATAAATTTTATTTCCCATTTCAGCTTCCAGTGCCCCCGCCAACACCCGAGAAACAGTTAACAACGAAGACTGCGCACAACTCCCTAAGCATTCTCGAAGTAGCCGACCCCAAACTTTGTATCCTAGCTCATTTGATGAGCCCTTTAGAACCTATAGAGCCAATACTGGAATCACCGCTTACCAAACCTTTAATGAAGCAGAAAACGGCTGCTGGGGAGCTTCTGAACGATGTTGCGCAGGCAAACACTGCAGTTGGTGGGATGCTATTAGCTAATATGGAAAGGAATGCGGAGTTTCCATTCATATCATACTATGTGATAAATACGACCCAATCAGATCCTTTACTTTTCTATAATAATATGAGGAGCGCTTCCTTGAATAAGTTTGATCCAAAAACTATTAGATATTCCGCAGCACATACTTTAGATTTGTATAGTGAAGTGGCTATGATCTGTAGACCGCCATTCAACGATTTAGCTGGTGGACCTAAGAAGTCACATACGCCTACAACTGGATTTATAATTAGTGTTTATAAGGTGAGTACTATAACAGATATAAAATGTATAAGTTTTTTTAATGTAATTAGAATAGTAATAAATCTGACGGTAGCCGTCACCTATACACATGATGAACTAAGGACATCACGTTATAATATAACGACCGTGATTCCACTTATGCCGGAAAGCAGAACGCTTTCATTTCTTTTAATTTCACATACATATCTCACCCTTCAACACAGCATACTTATAAAGGAAGCTGCTTGGCTGTTAAATTAAGAGAAACAGAAGTGCCCACCTTGTACAAAATCTACGTCAAAATCTGTAATAATTAGAATGGTTATCTTATTATTTGTCTTTAAAATTATAAATTTTCGTTAAATTCTCTGAATTACTTAACTGTTAAGTAATTTAGAGCATTTTCATTTTCGTTCAAAATGAAATAATTTAGGAAGTTTTATCAAAGCCTACTCGTGCGACAGTATCTATGTATGTAAAGAAATTTAATATATGTTCCCAAATCTGAATAGGAAAATGTACGAGTAATAGGAATATTGTAGAACTTTTAGAGGAAATAATTTGAAAAGCTTCATTATTCGCTACGTCGAATTTCAATAGACGATCCAATAAGGTTGAAACCTTAATCACAAAAGAATTAAAGACAAAAGTTCTACAACATAATTTTTCATTCAAATTGCAGGGATTTAATGAAAAAAGCTGTTTTCTAAACGTTAATAGTTTGATGATCCCACCTGCTAATCTAATAATGGTGTAGCTTAGTACATCATACACCCTTGTAGGACGTCAACTTCGCCAATTGTTCGCCAAAGCACCAGAAGTTTACTATGATAATGATGCTAAGAACGACTAGACAGGGTACATTATAGACGTATATAGTATATAATAACTTTGGAAGAAAGAAAATGACTAGTAACTATTGCTGGCCACTTTCTTTGTTCTAATCATTATCATTGAATACCCATAAAAACTGCAAAAGTTAGTAATTGATATTATGACGGACTCGGTGGTCTAGCGGTTTAGCACACCACCTTACTTCCCCAATGGTAGTAGGTTCGATTCCTCTCACGGTAAAAACATTTGTACTCATGACTATAATTGTTTGTATCGGCTTAGCTGTTTTCTACACATATTATGTATGTATTTTACAAAAATATAGGTATCTATCTGTTTCTAACAGTTGTCTAGTACCCATTACACAAACTCTGTTAACCTTGGAACTAGATGGTGTTGTGCAAATTGTACTATTATTATTAAAAGTTTTACCTCGTTTCTATTATCCAGGTTTTCGAGGGTGACGACGGCGAGCGCTTCGAAAGAAACTGGCTTTACTGGACTGGAGCCCGTATGCTGTATCGCCACTTGCCACATTCCGTCGGCATGAGGAAGATTGCGCTTCACAAATCGGTCGCGCAACACGGCGACAAGATGTACTTGTTGGTCTGCGAGTGTGCCAATTTGTTGGACAACTTGTCGGGAGCAGCCATGTTGGTCACAGCGTTAAGGGCAAGATTGTGCGGGTACACGGGACTTTATAGGCCCATACAGACATTCTAGTAAAGGGACGGCCTTTAATGGCCATGGCTGTGTTGTTCTATAGGATTTTTGACGTCTATGCTGTTGCGGGATCTTCCTTTTGAAAATTTCTTGGTAGCAATAACGAAACGCTTTATGAATGGGGAAAAATATGTATAAATTAAACGTACATATTTTTTCAGTATGTTGTTGAGGTATTACGTACTAAGGTATTAGAGACACGGCACATTCTGCTAATGTACCAATCAATTGCGGCGATAATACCGCAGTTTGCTCAGTCACTCGATAGTGTAGTCACGTATTGTGTTGATAAAATATAAGTTATCCGCAGAAAATACGACATACGGTGGGATATGCTGCATAAATAATTCAAGAACCGTAAGCAAATTCAGGCGAGTAACTTTTTATCTTGTTCCCCGCGTCTGGCGAACGTTTGTATGTAACGTGTTCTCTATACCTCTTATACCTCAATACATAATACGGGTTTAATTAAGAAATTTTGAAGGTGGAATTGATACAATTTAGATACAAAACGTCTGAAATCATAGTTGGTCATCGGACAGCACAAGTTGTGAAAACGGACCAAAGAATTAAATTTTTAATATCTACTAATGATGGTTATTGTATGGCTGGTTAAAAAGTATGTTTCGAACCGACGTGTTCTTTTAAACTATTGCTAAATTGATTAAGCGATTGTAAGTTATATTTAAAGTCAGAGTGTTTATCTATTCGACTAGAAATGCTTTCCCATTCTGTCTTTTTCCTAGTTATTTCGAGAGTATTTAGAGCTGACTACATTAACTTTTGATCTGCCACAAACTATAAATGTTTGCAAAACAAAATATTTCTATACTCGCTGAATCCTGCGATTATTTCCGCACGTTTTGAAAATAAATTATTACTCGCTGACAACATAGCTTTCTATAACTGAAATTGATTTTGAATTGGTCAAACAATTTTTGGATATATCAATTTAAAACGTATAAAAAAACAAAATTTCCTATTTATAATATTATTATCGCTTTGGCTCGTTTATTGTCGAAACTTATAGAGTTAAATCTATGTAGGGTTACTGGATATCGAATTTTCTGTTATTTATTATTTAGCCCCTAAATTACGTCATATATTCCTTACGTCTATAAAATATTTGACTCCCTCGTGTGGTCACAATGTGTCATGTTTGTAATACACCCTTATATGTACCGTCACATATTACGTAGTGTAACGTTACATATTAGATAATATTACATATTACTTAAAAAAGTAACAAACGAACAGCGAATTTACTTCCATTTGTCACACCGAGCACATTTTGTCGACATACCCACTGTCACATAGTGTCACATTTAGTCGACACACACCTGGCACATTTTGTGGACATCCCTTATCACACAATGTCACATGTAGTCGACTCACCCCTTGTCAAACATTGTCACATTTAGTCGACGCACACCATGTCACACCTGGTACATTTTGTCGACATCCCTTATCACACAATGTTACTTTTAGTCGCCTCACACCTTGTCAAACAATGATACATTTTGTCGACACACACCTAGTCACACTTGGTACATTTTGTCGACATCCCTTATCACACAATGTTACTTTTAGTCGCCTCACCCCTTATCAAACAATGTAGTCAACAAACCTCTTGTCACACATGTCACATTTTGTTGACACACCCCATTGTCACACAATGTCACATTTTGTCGACACACACCTCAACTTGTGACGTAATTTATAGATGGCCACGTAGATATCTATTATGATGAAGAGGTCTGTGGCAGTAAAAGGTTAATGTGTCAATTGGTATTGCACTGCCAAAAGACGGAAGTATATTTTCTATTTGAATTTAACACTTATTAAAATATAAAAGATATATTTTATTTAATGAAATAAATTATTTTCACTTCTATATTTCACTTATTCTAGAGATAGTGTACGACATTTTCAAACACTGGAAACAATACTAAAGATCAGTTCTCTAAATATATAATAATATATCTCTTATTTTATATATAAATCGCTAATTTTAGAGGCAGATGAACAATATATTTTGATGTACGGTCGGACCGATTCCGAAATGCTATTTTCAGTAAATATCTTCAAATTTCACTAAATTAGTGTTAGAGTTAGGAATATATAATTGATGATTTCGGTGATATAGATACCGAAAAGTGCGGCTCTCTAAACTAATTTCTAAAATTCACAAATTTCAGCTCTAAAATATATATTCCTAGACCCGTCCTGGCTTCGTACGGATGCATTACAAATCTATGAATTTCTCGGCTTGTTCTATACCATAACACACATGTATTGTACATATAAACTTTCCTCTTGAATCACTCTATTTATTGGTGAAACCGCATTAAACGTTGTGTAATTTCAAAGATATAAGCGCAAAGACAGCGGCGGCTGTCTGTTCACTTTGTTTTATACTATGTAAAGATAACTAAGAGATATCTCTATCTCTAACGAAGGAACCATAAAAAAGAAATCTACGAACATATGTAAAAGAATTCCAAGCTATATACGTGTTTGAAAGTGAATTTTAGAAATAGATATTTTTGGAGAATAGCACTAAACTGAAAATTAAACTGGCTCTAATGTTATTATCTCTAAACATATTTTTAGACAGTATAACAATGGCCACTAGGCCCTAAAAGCCAGGAAAACAAAAATTCTAACATTTAATTTGTACGTCAGCAACGGAAATAGTACTGGCCAATGTCTAAAAGCCAGAAAATAACACTAATTTGTTTTCTTTGTCAGCAACGGAAATAGTATAGTGAGTTATTTATCGCATGTCTTCCGGGCGATATTAGTACAAAATGTCTAATTAGGTGATTTCTCTTGTTTAATCACATACTAGTAGTTCCTCACATATCTTATGGTACATATCAATCTAATAGATTACACAAATGGTTGTAGCTTATATAAATAAAAATTGCAGTAAAAAAAAAAGTAACATTTTCACAAGCTAAAGTAATTGCAATAAAAATTAGGTTTCATTTATAGTAGCACTTTTAAATACTTAAAAATTATCCTTTACACGACATATTCTTTTACGCGCGATCGCAGTGCGCGTAATTTTGCGCGGGAAAGCCAGCGCGTGCAATCGTATACGATTGCATTTTTCGTGATCAATCTTTCGCGCGTATAATAGGCAAATGTTTCAAGACATTTCATTTTCTTTTAATTTATTTTTTATTTTCCACAGATTATATTTTCCAAAGACACAAATTATTTAACTCTTATTATTATGTCTTTGCTCTATAGTCTGATGTCAGCCATTTTGCAATGATATTTAATTATTATAAAGAGGTGCTAGACGTACCTATTAAAGAACGCGGGAATACGCGGCTGGTGGCGCGCGCGGTTGTCTGGTTCACTTTGTCTACATTTACAAGTGCATTCTTCCCCGTGTGAAAGACTAATCGCACGTGAAACAACGTACATATAAAGGTGGCAATTAATATATATCGAAAGTTATCCAAAAGAGACCTCGATCGACAATGTAACACGCCGAAATAACAATCACAGTTAGATACTTACTCACAAATTAGTAGAGTTTTAACAGTAGTAAATTGTCTATTATTTAGGGGCCAACCATAAGAATTTCATGTATTTAACCTCCCCTTCCCTTACCTCAACTTTATAAGTTACTACTACCACAGATAAGATAACTACATACCTACTACTTTAATTTCTAAGAGCAATTATCCATTTACGTATTATAATTATCCATTACCCTGTAAGGTTTTATTAACTACTCTTTTATCTATGACTATTAGATTGCACTGGCGCAATATTAAAATATATAAACAAAGAGATCAATAAAAAAACACAAAATAATTAACTTAGCAAATAATTATTATTTGTTAAGATGTGTCATCCTCGTAAAATTCACTATTTTCCTCACCTTGACCATTTTTTCACATAAATATTTATATCCACGTAAGTAAAGAATAGTTCCAACATCGTTAAAGAATTTTTAATATTAAATATCGACCAAACTTCATGTATGCCTAAACACATTGTGATTCAGTATATTAATTATAGATAGTATCGGCTTGTTTAAGTATATCTCAGGTTTACTGGTTACCTATAATGTATTACCTGAATTATTTACATACATACATAACTATTTTTAATTTATTGTATAGAAGTATATAAATTATACTATGATATACTTATATATTATATAGATTCACTTATAAACATATTTAAATATCTTTAATAATATAGAATGAACAGCAGTTTCCCATACAAACACATTTTAGATAAATAAATAGATATTTTCAGTAGCTATGTAATTGGATCGATTATTTTGCTATGGTGCTAAATCTAGTCAATTGTGTAGTTAGCAATAAAATGGCTTGCAATTTATTATCGATATTTAGAGATTCTGTTTTAATTATACGAGTAAGTAACCAATATACCTATAATTAGTAAATCACGGGATATACCACGTTTTATTTTTATTGAATTTCTGATATTTTGGCAGTGTTTCAACCGCCATGATCACGGGTAAACTCAGTCATGATCACCCGTGATGTTATCCGTAAATTCACGGGCAAGATCCCGTGATTTACTAATTATACGTATAAATAATGACCGAGTCAAATTTAAAACAGTATATAAGTAACCAATAGTTCCAAATTAGCGAAAAATTTCCCCCAAGATTTGCCAATAAAAAGCAATTGGATTAAATTATGTTGAGAAAAAGATTCAACATTCTTTTGCCATGAGAATGTAGTAACAAATGTAGATTTTGAATTAGGAAATTTGAATTTGTGCATTTTGTAGATTTTAAAATTCGAACCCATATTGCTTGAAATGAATTTTGAAGATGCAGAGGAAATTTTAAATATAAGTAAATAGATTTAAATATAAAGCAGCCCAGGGTGGGATTGCCATTTTCTGCAGTTGTCTAAACTTCACATAATGAATTAAGAGCTGTTAAATTTATTATTGTTCATTAACTATGTTGTTCTGTGTGTAAAAATTAAAATCTTATAATATACTTTCTTACTCATGAACTATAGAGGTGTTCTCTCACTTTCTGTCAAATTAAAAATATAAATCTGAAGAAATGGACAAACATGAATATGATTTTATAAATATAAGTAATAACAACAAATATTACCTGAATTATTTACATACAATTACTCAATACGTAAAAATACCAATATATCATTTCAGAATATATATTTATTATACAAATATGTTATTATTAAAATATTATTTATTTAAAATATGTGAATTGTACAGACAACTGCATTAAATTTAGTTTATAAGAGATATTACAATTGGTCGCTTAGCTTCAAAAGCTAATTTGCAAAATGGGCTAAGCTCCTAACAAAGATTGTATAGAGAGTTTAATTAAATTTCAATTATTTTTATAATAAAATACAAATACATAAGTGTTGGAAATTTTATTTCAGACAATCTCGCCACAATTTAATCTACACATATAAATAAAATTGGAGTGTCTGTTTGTAATATTGAAATAACGGTTTTTTATTACATGCATATGAATATAAATACGGTGCATAGACCAAAATAACATTTTTTGTTTGTCTGTCTGTTTATTTCGGCTAATCTCTGAAAAGGCTGGACCGATTTTTACTGGACTTTTTTCGGCAGATAGCTAATGTAAAAAGTAGTAACTTAGCCTATTTTTATTTTAGAAAAATAAAGTTCATTTCCACTCAGATGAAGTCACGAGAACAGCTAGTTAATTATATATCCTGGGAACGACATTGTGGGAGTCTGTTGACAAGAGAAAAGTGTACCATAATATGAGATCCTATTATTGATATCTTTTAAACCTGTAATTCATTACCTCAAATAGCTGTACCTAGTTTAATTAAATATATATATATAATATAAAAAAAACTATTAAAATACCAAAAAAGCTCTTTTTCATTAAAATAACATTTATTTATACTAACTATTTATAAACAATTAATTTATAATACAACAACATTTAATGTGATATTTAAACTGAGACTAAATTTCTAAACAGGAATATGTTTAGAAATCGAAACAGTCAATGTTCATTATAAAATAAGCTTACTTCAATAACCCTTGTGTCCTCTAAATCTTCTTCTATTGTCAAGCTGAAATAATAAATATTTGTTTGTATGTTCAATATATATAATGTAGGTGATTGTTGTCTGTATATTAAAAAAATATATGAATAATACTATTTTTGGGGAACTTTATGAACATAATAATAGCAATAAATTATAACAATCATTGTTTTGTGTTCCAAAACAATGATCTATGTCTGTTTTTGTTGTTTGTAGGCTACACTCAGAGACATATTAAATTAATTTTGTGCAAAATAGCAAAATGTGATATGATTTTTATTATTATGGTGAAGATTAAATACAAATGAAAAAATAATTAATCATGTTATTTATTCATTTTAGCAGTTTATGAATGTAAAATTTTTTATATTATAATTTTTGCTCTACCGGCCAATTAGTTATACCAGGTGCAAAGTTGTAAGCTATTGTTTATTATATCCAAGTAGTTGTTCTTAGGAAAATACACTGGGCATAATCTTATATTCGAATGGAACTTTTATAAAGAAACCCAATATCACACTATTATGTGACCCCTGTAGTTACATTTACTCCAGAATAGAATTAAGACATGCCTCATATCCTATACTATCCTCATACCCATAACTGAAACACAATTTACAGATGAAGCTGCTTAGCAGCAGAAGAATTAAATATTTGAAAATTATGCAGGATATCATTAGATAAAATAAAATGACAACAGTCTTGGTGGTCTAGTGTTCAGCACACCACCTTTTTTTAATTCACCATTTTCCATAGTCACAGGTTCGATTCTTCGAACAGTAGGTACATTTGTATTTGTATTGTTAATTTGTAACAAATTGTAGGCTGGTTGTGTGTCAAATTACATAAAAGAAAAATTTCTATCACTTATCTACTACATTATCAACCTCTGCTTAGATTGGGGCTAAATAGCGACATGTGAATTAACATTTATTACTATTTACATTTATTATATTGAAATAACTATGCACATAAATGATGATATAAGTCAAGAATTCATAAATACTTACCAATGATCGTTTACATTCAAAGAATGACTGTCGTAATTGGTAACACTCATCAGGAACCAAGCCGTCTTTAAGACATTCCCGAGGTGTCTTTTTATCCTACAATAATAAAGAGATACAGATTCAGGTATATGATATACAAGATAGCATATATAACATAGAAGAGTAACTTTTTAACATGTTTATTAATATTTGCATGCAACCTATTTCATTTATTCTGGAGTGCCAGTATAAAAAAAGTAATTTATTTTATCTGTAAACATAAATTGTAATTTTTGTGAAAATATACGTTGATTAAACACGACCAAGATTCTTACACTAAAACATTTCATTTTTATACACATACAGTACTGTTATTTAAAGAATATTTACCTTTTTACAGCAATCACTGCTTAATAAACACATCTTGAGATCAGCCCTAATACCGGCACAGGGCGATTTGTCCTGTAAACTCACTTCATCGGGCGCATACGTTACCATTTTTTTAATTCAGTGGAGATCAATTATAAATTAAATAAATAAATATAACCCCATTCAGTTAAATTATTAAAGAACGAGATAAAAACCGTGTTTTTAATTTTTAAAGAGTACAGAAAATTATATAAACTGACAACAAGGAACAAGTGACATGATGATTGACATTGACATCACTAAACTGCGCTGAAATGCGCTCAATCTCGGTGTAGTCAACGTCGTCACAGATAACAAATAAATATCACATCAATCAGCTGTTTTGAACATGAACTCATAAGTTTACGATCCACATCCAATAATATCTATACAGTGAAATGTTTACTGTTTTAACATTTGTAACATATAGATAGCTACAAGAAAGAAAAATGAAACTGTTCCCCGTGTTTACCAGGAAACTATCACATATTTGCAATTTAAAGCCTTACAAAGATACGAAATGGCTGATGCCCAATGGTAATCCAACTGGTGTTTATGTTTATAATTGCGTCGCCGATCAACGCGTGCCCGTTATATTGAGCGATCCCCACGTCGCTACATGGTACTCCTGTGGTCCTACAGTCTACGACTCCGCACATATCGGTCATGCCAGCTGCTATGTTAAACTGGACATCGTTCAAAGAATACTGAAGACTTTCTTCAATGTCAAGCTTATTACGGCTATGGGGGTGACAGATGTTGACGACAAAATTATTAAAAAAGCCAATGAGACTGGGACTGACTTTAAAACGGTTGCCAAACAGTATGAACACGAGTTCTGGGCTGATTTGGCAAGTCTCAATGTAGAGAAGCCTTTAATAATTACTAGAGTATCAGAGCATATCACTTGTATTGAAGACTTTATTAAAAAGATGATAAAGTCGGAAATGGCTTATGTTGCTGCAGATGGTTCTGTTTATTTTGATACAAGCAAATTTCCTTCTTATGGCAAATTGCAAAAGGCACCAGATTCTGGTGAACCAAGTAGTGAAGGTAAAAGGAATAGTATGGATTTTGCTTTGTGGAAAGGGCACAAGCCAGGCGAACCTAGTTGGGATGTGGAATGGGGAGCAGGTAGACCAGGATGGCATATAGAATGTTCAGCAATGGTCAGCAAAGTGTTTGGGTCGCAATTAGATTTTCATGCCGGGGGTATAGATCTGCAATTCCCGCACCACGAAAATGAGGAAGCTCAGTCCTGTGCATTTCATAATACAGGACAATGGGCCAACTATTGGATTCACATTGGCCATCTACATGTGAAAGGAGATGCAAAAATGTCTAAATCACTGAAAAATACTATATCTATACCCACAATCTTGGAATCGTTCAGCGCTGATACATTCCGAATGGCATGTCTAATTTCAAACTACAGATATCCAATGGAATATGATACACAATTGATGAAAACAGCCGAAGATGTCCTTAACAAGTTCAAGTTTTTCCTCAAAGATGCATACATATATGTTAATAATAATTCTGCTAACACTGCAGACTATGAGTACAACCTTTTGGAGAAGTTGCAAAAAGTAGAGGAAGCAAATATAGAAGCTTTGAAGACTGATTTTGACACTGCAACTTGCATTAACAGTTTGCAGTCGCTGGTCTCGAGTGCATATAGAATATTAAAGTCAGATACAGGAGATTATTATCCTATCCCTATATTATTAACTGTAGAATATATAAAGAGTGTGCTGACAAGGTTTGGTTTGACGCTAGAAGAATCAGCAGAGAGTGTGATATCTAATTCGTTGATAGATACATTAGTAGAATTTCGACATACAGTAAGGTTGAATGCTCTAACAAGAAAAGACATTGAGTTATTAAATGCCTGTGACTCTGTTAGAGATAAGTTAAAGTCTCAGAAAGTACAAGTGAATGATACTAATAAGGGCTCTTCATGGGTTTCTATTAAGTGATATTATTTTTAGTTTTTTTTTACCAAATATGTACTATGAGCCTGCATGATACCTGGATGACAGTATAGTCTGATTCATTTGTATTGTAGCATTAAAAATTCAATGTTGTCCAAGGAGATTAATGTTATTGTTACTGTACAAAATTATCTCTATTTATCACAAAACTCATTATAATTACTTTTAAAGTTGTAAACAAATAACAAATATTATACTTGTTATTTATTTACAATAATAAGATAATGTTAAAGATACTATTGATCAATTTATCATTCAATGTATTGTATGTACATGCTAGCCAGGGAGGGGATTAAGAGGGGGGACTAGTAATATGTAGGTAGCTAAATAATAATCCTTATCTATGGCAAGTATATAATTTAATTTTATATGAGATGTTGCTACATAAACTTTTTATGACATGTTATATTTGAAATAAAAACTTATTTTGTTTAATTTGCTGTTGGTTAGATTTCGAATCCTGTTTTAAACAAAGGCTATTTAAAAATCAGTCTTATAAAATTTCACATAACAAAGAACTTTATTCCAACCAAATTCTCAACTTAAAACCACAGTTTGTTAAGTACAATATATATTTTAATGACATTTCAACTATCTAGATTTACAGCACATGAGTAAATGTTATACAGAACGCGAGCAAACTCTTGCTGATGGGCTAACATATTCGAGTAACTTTTAACTTTATAAACAATATTAAATATGTTTAAATTGTATTGAAAGTCAATTTGACATATTATTTAGTAATAAATTAGTACGATATTTGATTAATTTCAGATCTAATCATCGACTGATGGATATTGCAATGAGTATTAACATTATATTTGTTTTCTGTTATTCGAAATATCAATGTATATTATTATTAATGCATAGCCAAAGAAGGTGCTATTTGGCTTTCATACACCATGGATAAATGTCTGGAATACCAGCACCTTTTACAAATCTGGGAATTTGTAATCTATATAGTTTCAGTCATATATATATTTATAACTGGAATGGCGAACAACTTGATAATCCACCTGATGGTAAGTGGTAACTGTCGCCTAATTCATGAGTGAAGTGTAGTGTGTATGTAGTGAATAAACAGGATATTTACCATGATATTCTGATTGTTCTGTTCAGTCACATGCTTTATATAAACGGTACTGAAGTTCAAAACATTTGAATCTGTACATTTAATATTTTTTAATTGGTAAGTTTTAGACTGCACATAGATCTTATAGATAATAGAGCACAATGCTCGCCCTTTTTCAGAGATCTAGACCTGTCGGAAAAGAATTCAAGGATATATATGAGCGATGGTTTTTATCTCCTCAAGATAGAGTTTAAAATTTCAAACATTTACTCATGCTTACAGTCTAAGTTACAACAATAGGGTTTGAAAAAGACTAGACCCTCTCAAGATGTGGAACAAATATCACGATAATTCTCTGGACGAGCGCTACGGGGGTACACTAAGACTTTCACTTATCAATTAATTGTTTTGTATACAATTATTTTTGTCATATATCATACTTTCTGCTCTGTAGACTTTCCATGCTATGAGATAGTCACGTGTCATCTTGAAGAGCGTGTAGTAATTTATGAACAATAGTATGAGTATGGAGAGGAAATGGTGCCATTGAATATTGCTGAAGAGTAGGCACAACTGCAGCACAATGAGCGACAGCTGGAGGCATAGTAACATACACAGTAACACCGAAGGGTTTATGAAGACTGTCTGTAACAAAACATATAATTGCATGTTAGTATATCTTAATAATATTATAAACGCGACAGTTTATGAACTATAAACTATAGATAGCAAAGCACAGAGTAAGCCTGTTTTCAAACGGAAAATTTTTGATTATCTCTTGAATGAACAAAACGGTTGTTAATTATCTATTGTTGTCATAATATATATGTAAATTTCTCTTTTTTTTTAAATTGGTGTGATAAAATTTTAGTATCATTATTATGTATTATAGTAAGTATATATTTATATTTATGTATGTATATTTGTAATTATTTTTAGAAAACCTATTTACCTATGTTAGGTACACATTATTAGTCCTTTCCCACCGCTGCCCATCAACCGCTTTCTGTTCTTACCTAATGGTTAGCTGGTAGAGAATGCCATATGGCATTAAGCTCGCCAAAATGTACAATTTTTAAAAGTGCAATAAAGAATAAATAAAAAATAAATATTTGTTACTCTTACACACAAAAACTACTGAACTGGTATTGATGAAACTTTACAGTAATATGCATATGCATCAAAATAACACATAGGCTATATATTTTATTGAAATTTAACGTCGGGCACAACTAGTTATGATATAAGTGCGTTATGATGGTTATAATAGACGAGGCGGAATTTCTGGCGAGAGCGTAATAGAGCCGAACGTGTTAAATACTCATGTATATCGTATGACGTTTGTGAACAAACTTGGTTTTAAATAAACTCAAACATAGAACAATAACGCACACTTGCTTTCCCGCCGTTTTACTTTTTTAAATTAACGTAGTATCTACATATTTACAAAAAAATGTATCAATGTATTTATATTACTTGTCCACAATCCATAACACAAGCTCTGCTTAGTTTGGGACTAGAGTGCCGTGTGTATTATCCAGGTTTGTTATTATAATATCGATCAAGTGTATGGTGTATGTGTACTCTTCCTTACGCGCACATGGGTGATATTTTTATTCATTTATTTATTTCAGGCTACTAGGTCCATATTATGAATACCTTTTAGACTAACATACATATGAAATCATATTATAAAATTAAGATATTGAAATCGTCTATGTGGTCACGGCACTGACGACGGCAATCAGCCACGATAGCTTATACACCACACCCTTTAAGATAGTCTTCCTTAAGGTGGGCAGCATGTCTGTGGGGATGTGAGTGTCAGTACTGACATAGAAGCGCGTGTGGTGCGCGACGGCCGGCTCGGCGGAGACTCGCGGCGCGGCCGCCACGAACACCCCGCCGCCCGCACACACGCGCGAGTCGCGCCCCCACCACACCTCCGACGACCACGGGCTCACTCCGCACTCGTTCACTGCAACATTACATTACATAAACACCCAGGGACTATCAGGAGCTCATCCACCAACTCGTTTGTAAAGACCCTACAACGAACTCACTTCACAGTCATTTACTGCGAGCTTCAATTCGTTTGTGGCACATCATGCTGCCTTCATGATTTCATGACTTCAATATTAAAAAGATTACCTGTGCATACTATCTGTTAATTTATTTATTTTTATTTATAAACTCGTTATTGCACCAAGCATTTTACACAAGAATTATACAGAAAAGAGATATAGATGTACAAAAGGCGGTCTTATCGCAAGAAGCAATGTCTTTTAGACAACCTTTAGGTAGAGAAATTACAATAAAAGTGGTAGGTAGCGAATAGATAGTATGGAAAAATATATATATAGACTTACAGACCAAAAATCATTAGTCAATCAATCAAACATCATAAAATAATATTATTGCAACTATAAATTGAGATGTAACCTATCCTATCTTTCGAGTTAGATCAAATTGTACACAATGTGGAAATCAAATTGGATCAGTAGTTTAGGAGTCCATCGCGGACAAACAGCTTGATACGTAATTTTTATATATAAAGGTAATAATATAAATAAATATTAGAAAATATCATTCATTATACTATATATATCGTGTCTATTATAATATCAGTAGATTAACCTGTGCATCCAGTCTGCAGTCGCCAGCAGCCGAGATGTTGCGCGGCGCGATGCACTACGTCACAATGCGTCGCCGGCAGCAGCTGACTCGCGTACCGGCCGAACAAGCCCGCCCACACGAACGCCACTTGCTGAGACGCGCCGTACACGTCGTAATACAAATACGACTGCAAACAAACCAGTATCACTTAGACCAGAGGGTCCTAAACTTTTTTGTGTCGTAGACCCCTTGCCATATTTTTCTGTTTCGGGTAGACTCCCCATTCTTACCTGGTATTGAAAATTGAAATTTCTAACTGTAGTAAAGTTAAGTGTTAAAACATAAAGTAAAAACGACAAGATGACCGCTGTCGTAGAACCCTTGTAGTTTGTCATAGATTTGTTTGTTTTTTATTTATTTTATTAATGCAGGCTACATGGCCCATATTATGTTTATAAGGTATTTATAACATACATCTTATTAATATTATAAACGTGAAAGTTTGTGAGTATGGTTGAATTCCAAAAAACAGCAATATTCATAATATTAATACTAGATTTATAGACCAACTTGCTGTCCCCAAGTATCGTTTAGAAAAAGTTAATAGGTCTTTTATGGGAATAGGTATAAAAATTTACGATAAAATACCAAAGGATATGTTGGAATTACCTTTAAATAAATTCAAAACATCTGTTAAATCATATTTACTGAGCAAAGCCTATTACTCACTAAACGATTACTTGAATGACGAGTGTGCATGGCAATAGTTGTTCATGCACTGAATTTTCATTTAATGTTAGACATAGACACCTATATAAAAATACATTGTAAATAAACTGGCTTTAAAAAAAAAGTAATTCAATTGAGTTTCTTGCCAGTTCTTCTCAATTGGATCTATATACCGAACTGGACGGTAGGGAAAAAATAAAATTATAATGTAAAAATTTGACGTTCATAAGCGGCTAAAATGTCCTACATGAATAAATGATTTTTGAATTTTGAATTTTGAATGTTTGTTACTCTTTCACGCAAAAACTACTGTACGTATTTTGATGAACTTTATAGTAATATAGCTTATCAGAATAACATTATAGGCTATAAATTTTATGCGGGTGAAATCGCGGGCACAGCTAGTAAGAAATAATAATAAAATATAAAATTATGTGGCCTAATAAACCCATTGCTAGCAATGTGCCATGTCAGATCGTTCTCTACGCAGTTCAACCTGAAAACCATCGTGATAAGTTCCTGGTGAAATTGACACAATGTGCTTACTGACTTCACCTCATATTCATCTTATCATCCTCCACTGGTACCCCGGCAGCGTAAAGCATTAGCGCAAACAAGTGAATACTATAAGAATCTGTATACCCACTGAATTAACAGTAAGGAAAAAAATATTAATACAAAAAACTTGACGCTAAAATGTACCTACCTGAATAAATGAATTCTGATTCTGATTTTATTGCAACTCTTAATAAATCATAAAATTAAATATTGCTTTTGTCAACTAACCTGTGCAAAACAACATGGTATAAAACTCGTGTAGTACGCCCCCACAATTGAATTGAACAATATCTTTTTGAGTCTTAGATTGAAGTCCTGCCTCATCACTTCCACCTCATCCCTGATCTGCTGTGGGTAGTGACTGCAGCTGTGCATTAGCGGAGTCTCTGTGTTGTTCAGCTCCAGGAATGGGCCGGATTGGAATCCAAATAGTAATAGGTATATAACAGCTCTGAAACAAGACATTGCACTCATTTATTTATTGACAGCCTCGGTGGTCTAAACCGCTAAGAGGTGTACTAAACCGCTAGGTTTAGTACACCTCTTTACTTCCGATGGTCGCGGGTTGGATTCCTCGCACAGTACAAACTTTTGCATCCATGAGTAAGATTGTTTGTATCAGTCTGAGTGTTTTCTCTGTATATTATGTATTTACTTATAAAAAAAGATTACTAATCTAATCTAATATTTAAAGGTGGTAAGATTCGATTTTTTTTAATACCTATTAAGTACTCAAGTAATAATTAACTGATTTCACAATTTTGTCGCCTGCAAGCTCCTGGTGAGTTCGCATAAAGGGTTATCGCCTAACTGACCTGATTACTCTCATCCTATCATCCAACATTTGTGTTCCAGCAGAACGTTAACGCAGACGAATGCGCCAATTCATAATAATTATTGAAAAAAAAACAAGATTTTACAGATATACTTACGGATAACAGAGGAAGAAAATCTTCAGTAACGGGTGCTTGAGCATTATAAAGTAGGAACACCATGCCAGTGCTCCCAATACTACGCCCAGAACGAACATCCTGTATAATTGGAACATATTATTGCATAATTCTTTAGTTGTTACACAAGATACTTAAAATGTGATAAATTAATATAGAAATACAACATGTTATCCATTAAATTCCACTAACAATCAGCTATCATTTAGTACTGAAAAGGGAAGAAACAGACAGACTGATGGTCATTTTTTTTTCTTTTTGGGTACCTACTAATGCTAATTAGCGATCTGATTTTTATACAGATTTTTACACGATACGGTCTAGGGGTTTAGCACACCGCCTTTCTTCCAATGGTCGCGGGTTCGATTCCTGGCACGGCACAAACATTTATTTTCATGAGTATGATTGTTTGTATCAGTCTGGATGTTTTCTATGTATTTACAAAAAATAAATGTATTTGGATCAGTTATCTAGCCCATAACAAAGGCTTTACTAGTTTAACTTGGGACTAGATGGCGCTGTGTGAATTGTCCTAAGATTATTATTATTGTATTATACAATAGTCGAATCTGATGAGTCTTTTCTTAAATCGTTTGTATTCCTTTCAATTCATAAGCCTAGTCCAATGAGTCGGCTTTGAGGCGCTATCTGCGAACCTTTCGTATAGTCCTTGGATGTCACATCAGGACAGATAAACAGACAAACAAACATACCTTCACAATTAATATTAGTGTGGCTATATTTTGTAATTCAAGAATATCGGTAACCATTCCTATAATTATAGGAATCCATTGTAGGTTCCTTATTAAATAAAATTATTTCTTATAGCAGTCATTTTTAAGTTACTACTTGGTAATGGAATAAAATCAGTGAAATACATAATGGTAATGTCTTTTTTTTAGTGCTTAATATATATGATTTTGCAACATTAAAAAAAATATATCCTGCTCTCCTTCTTTCTATATAAACTATGTGTATGAAATTTCATACTCTATAGTCTGCACAGTTTTCTTAAAAAGGGATACAATATTTTTCAAATATTATTATATATATATATATATTTCTGGAAATTATAGATTGAACTAACCTGGTGGCGATTGTAGCGTGTGGTATCAGCTTGGGTGCGAGCAGATAATTTAACAGTGCTAATGTCATACTGAGCAGAAGTCTTCTAAATAATATTGTCACTATGAATGCTACCAGATGTGTGTCAATCAAATAGAAGTTCTGAAAGGTAATTTTTTTATCTGTAGTATTTATAAAGCCTGTGTTATTCTGATGTATAAGCTATATTACTGTAAAGTTTCATCAAAATCCGTTCAGTAGCATCTGCATGAAAGAGTAACAAACATCCATCCATCCATACTCACAAACTTTTGCATTTATAATATTAATAAAATTTACTCACTATAGAAAAGCAAATCAATCAGACCTGAATGTCATGTACAGAGTATAATAGTATTATATAATATTATAAAGTTGAAAAATTTGTTTGTTTAGTTGAACATATTATTGGCAAATCTCAGGAACTACTAACTCAAAAAGAAAAATTATTTTAGAGTTGGATAGCCCATTTATCCTACAAGGCTATATATCATCATCTATGACCAATAGAAGTAGAGTAGTAGCTAGTAAATAAGAACAGTAATCTTTAGAAAATTCATATTAATATTATAAAAGCCAAAGCCAAAGCCAATCCATCTGTACTTTGTTACCTTTTCAAAACTAAATAGATGTAAGCATCTTACTTGACAGGCTACCTTTTATCTTAAAATATAACCCGGATATTAAAACTGTGATGATAAATAATAATAAATAACCCTGGACAATTGACACAGTATATAACACAAACTCTACTTACTAGTAGAGCTTTTATTCTGAGTACTAGACAACTGATATAAATACTTAGATATTTATTTTGTAAATACATACATAACATAGAAAACACCCAGACATATACAAACAATCATACTCATGAATATAAATATTTGTACAGTGTGAGGAATCGAATTTGCAACCATCGGAAGTAAAGCAGTGTGCTAGACTGCTGCACCACAGAGGCTGTCAATGTAATTCAAGATAATGTATATAGGTTGCCACTTCTATCAAGTAGACTTTGTGTGCCATTCTAATAGTATAATAAAAAAAAACAAAGAATAACCACATTCACATCCAATGCTTATGGGCCACAAGCATTGGATGTGAATGTGAAAATAATAATTAATCTCTATATATAAAAATTATGTGTCATGTTGTTTGTCCGCGATGGACTCCTAAACTACTCAATCAATTGCAAATTTGATTTGCACATTGTGCATTAGCAATTTGATCCAACTTGATCTCTACTTCATCTCAATTGATCTCGATCTCAATATACATCTCAACATTATTTTATTCAAGAACCTCAGCCACATCAATAGTGGCTGTGTCTGCTAGTTAGTATATATAAAAATTACTTCTCTCACCATTGCCTGATCGGTATTTGAGTTTGGAAGCCACCATATGGTCCTGTATAAATTCAGGAACTGTAGTCCAGTTGCCACCAATGTGAATATGAATGTCATAGTTTCAAACAACAGTGTTCCATCCTGTGGGATATAGGGGAATGGGATATGTTTAGGTGGCATGGTGCCATCAGTTCGTTTAATTGTGTCACTCATGGCTCGCGCACGTGTTGCACGTCTGCTGCCATTTAAATCCTCTTCTAGCAGTGAGTATGCCGCCTGGAATTAAAGAAGAATATGTTAGTTTAAACAGGAACTATTCATGAGCATACCCTGCTAAATCATATTTTGGTGACGGCAACTAGTTTCTAATAGGCTAGTTTCTAAACAGCAACTGTTCACCTTGCTAGACCAGATATCAATGACGGCAACACAATCTTGTTTATAGGTGTCCTTATTGCACTTAGAGATTAGATTATATTGCTGTCTCTGAAATATCATTTTGGCATTGTATGCATGTATTAGACATATAAGATTTAAAAAGGTGACATTTCAAAATTTAGGATATGGTACATATCCTAAATCTTTACACAATTTAGGATATGTACTCTTGTGGGAGAGAGGTCTTGGCCTCTTACATACTTGTTAAAAAATTATCTTAGATACACCTTGTGTTTCATTTAAAGGATGAGATAAGTCAGTGAAATTAAAGGACAAGATGCATGACATCTTAGTATTTCTGCATAGAGAGTTATTACAAGTGTCACATGTTAAAGTGATGTTGTTAGATCCATTCATGCATATAGGCTATGGTTATCAGCCACCACAGGTGAGGTATCATCAGGAAGACTTTGAGATACCTGAAGGATTCTGCGTTTCTGGGAGGAGTTTGGTTGACTAATCTAGTAGTCTCGTCTCACTGTCAGAGCACCAGCGGAGGTTAGGTCTGTTGGCCCGTCATGTCAAATTCACTGGGAGTTTATCACAATGGTTTCTAGGGAGAACTGTATAGAGGTGAACCTGCCTTGATACCTTGCTAGTGATGAAGTAATTATTTCACATTACTAACAATCCCTTCCCCCTCAAGCAAGCCATTAAAACAAAGAAGGAGAAAAGAAGCGACTTGTGGTACAGTTTACTTACTTTTTTATTAAAGCCAGTACTTTTTTTAGTAGCGGGTGGACTCATTTTAGTAGTAACTGGCGGCATAGGCCGCTTGACAGGCGGGTCTTTAATGATTTTACGCCGCCTGGAGATGGCTGTTGACGAAGTATTGTTGACTTGAGAGTACGCCCAACGCCTCGCCAGCAGTATTGTCAAGCAACCAGCCACTGCTGGTAAGAAGAGTGCGACAAAAGGGCCACTTTCATTTTCCGTACAACTCATCACTCACATGTTAATGTTTTATAACACTATATTATCAATTCTCTTTCTCAATACAAACGCGATAAACGAAACCAAAACGGATATATTGAATTACATTACCACAATGAATTCAATATTATCTATTAATACAAATAATTAAAGGAAACAATATTCCGCAAATAGGAATAAAATTATTTTTTGACAGCTGATTGACAAGTGTAATTTGATTGACAATTTACTCTGCGACATTCCGTAATCTGTAAGCAAACTGATAATTTATTACGTCAGATGGTATGGACACTCAGACGTTGTTAACTTTATCAATACATAAAACCCAATACGTTAAACATTATTGGATCAGCTAATTATTTTTCATCAATTATTCATGCCTCTTTTTACCACATAGAAAATTCAGAAGTGTATTCACATTATAATACGATAGCGGGCTCTATCGGAATAAATTATTATTTATACATCTTTTATTGACATTAGGATTGACTTGACTTCTCACATTTATTTGTTTGTGTTGTTCTGTATTTTCTCAATGTTGTTATCATAAAACTATATACTGCTTTTTACTTTTATTTGATTGTACAAAATCGATTAAGCCGGTATCACCGCTAATCGTTTCTTTGAGATATTACAATAATAAAACCACAGTAGTGAATTAATAGTACGAATGTGCTATGAGATTACATAAAAATGTCATTTGCAATACTATGTTCATTTGTTTTAGCTTTTTATGTCGTAGTTTGGTTCTTTGATTCTTTTTTCAAGGTACGTTTTAATGAAACTTTAATTAGTTTTAACTCTCGTCGCAATACTGACTGATTGTTTATTTTTCAGAGCTGTATGCATTATCCTTACTATGCTTTCTTGGAAGGAACTGGACTGAAAGTTGGGATACTAAATTTCTCATGGACAACCACTGCTTTTAACAGGTTTATTTATCGGTGGAGCAAAAACTTGTCGCGTGTACTGAAAAAGTGGTTCACGTGTGGATATTTATTCAGTATTTGGGTATTTCTACCGTTTGCAATTTGGGTACTACTGACATTCATATTTGAACATTTTTATGAAACAATACAGATTAATAATGTTCCTGAGGTGAAGGCGATGCTACCAGGAGTGAATATTCCCGCTTCAGACTTTTGGGTGTACTTCCTTGCCATAGGCCTGAGTAGTATATTCCATGAACTGGGCCATGCAATGGCCGCAGCACAGGAGGATGTGCAATTAATATCTGTTGGTGTGTTTGTTTTCACCATAATTCCAATAGCATTTGTGCAACTCAACACTGAACATTTGAATAGTCTTGCAACAACCAAACGGCTCAAAATATACTGTGCAGGTGTATGGCACAATGTCACAATGTCGTTTTTTGCTTTGTTGTTATTTTTCTCAGCACCAATCCTATTCAATATAGCTTATGAAACAGGTATAGGAGTGAGAGTCACGGATTTCACAGATGATTCTCCATTGAAGAATGTGAGAGGTCTAGAAAAGAATGATGTTGTGACATCAATAAATGGATGTGACATAAAAAACTCTAATGATTGGAACCATTGCCTTCATATGGCTCATGAGCGGTTTGGTATCTGTACTAGTGCAGAGTTCATTGCTCAAAATGATGAAATAATGATGGAGACAATAAAGGAGAATGATGTAGTGGAATGTTGCAGGAAGGATGACTTGTTCAATTTTTGTTTTGAATATATGGAGCCCAAAGTGGCTGCAGACTCAGTGTTGCCAGGTCAATATTCATGTTTGAAACCCAGAGATATGATTAAGAATAAATTCAATAAATGTACAGAACCGAGTGGCTATTCCTGCCCAAGGAATATGCACTGTTTGAAACCATCAATGAATAATCATACTTATCTAGTTATAGTTGAGAGGAAGGACAACAATGCAGTCTTGTATTTGGGTTTGCCATATGATTTGCATAAAACAGTATTTATCGATCAATATTTCCCTAGGTTAGGTATATTTTCAATTTTTTCCCCATCTCAATTTGAAAAGTTACTGAGGTATATTTTTATTTTTTCTATGGGAATAGGATTTGTAAATATTGTTCCCTGTTACGGTACAGACGGTCATCATATATCAAGAAATCTAATTCAAATTTTAGCTAAATATTTGAATAAGAATGGTGATTTTGTAACATTTTTTACAATTTTTACAGTAGTCGTAGGAACGGGTGTGACAGTACCAATTTTAGTGTATTTATTTTATAGAGCTATATATGTAGATAATTGAAAGCAATGGATTGTATATATTGGTAATTTAAAACTAAGTGTACCTACATAATAGTATATAGGTAACTTGAAGTGTTAGATGTTTTTGTAAGTCTAATTCATTTTTGTAAATTTTATGTAAATAAACAAAAACTGTATTCTATTTAATTTAGATTCATACCCCAAATATTAAGGGGTGTGTTTGTAATCAATATAAAATAAATCCTTCAGACTAGATGTATTGACATTCAATGTTATTGTATTAATTTTTAATACAGAAACAAGTAATGTTTCAAATTAATGAAATGCGTAGGTACTTATAGATGCAATTGTAATATCAGATTTTCTTTGAATTTATGTTGCAGAGTGTCTATGAAATTGACACATGTACCTTAGATTTTAACAAATTTTTTTCTATTTTAAATAAATTTCTGAAATGTAATCATAAAAAGTGTATACAAAAATGCCTAATTTTATTAACAATACATAAGTTATTTATTTTAAGTAGACAAATGTTCCAATTTTAATAAATTTATATAAAACACTTTATTTATTGTTCTAATATTCACTATTAAGGGGTTAACACGGTTTCAAAAAATCGAAAAATTTTTTTTTGTCTTATTAAATTCTATAACATCTCTAGAATATTGTCTTAAATTTTCAAGTTGATCCGACCAATAGTTTCGGATATACAGCCTTGAAAAGGTGGACGCTCGAGGTCACGTATAGGCTGAGGGCGCAGTAGGTAAAACGCAGCTGCAGCTCATCTATTGTTAGCTGTAATTCTTGTCCCTTTTTTTCTTAATATAAGGTAAACTACTGGAAAATATTTCATTTGGTGATTTCTCGTTAAACTACGAAGTTCATTTTGAGGTTATAAGTGTTTGTTGTGAATTTTATTCGATAAAAAATGCCGTTTAAAGTGTCTAGAACCCAGATAACGGAAGGTGTTCGTATCAGCATTATTATTAATTATGCACGGTATGGACCTAAAACTTGGCCCAAATTCCCATGAATATGCCCGAAATATGGATGAAAATTGACCGCAGCGGAAAAGAAATCTACCAGCGAGACTCGTGCAGCCAGGATTCGTCATAGACTGGAGCAAAAGGATGCCCTGGACAATGCAGGTGCAGCAGGTTCTCTACTTTATGGCCCAGGAATCGACGACTCAATGTAAGTTAAAAAAAAAAAAAATACTATCTTTTATTGTCTCTTAAAACTTTAAACGCGTTTTTCTCAAAACTATGTTTTCAAAGACGGTTGTCAAATTTCTCGCGAACTACTCAACCGATCTTGATGAAATTTTACACAGGTCTTCGAGATATCATTTACAATGTCTTGAACGAAGGATTTTTTTTTATTTTAATTACAACTATATTTTAAAAAAAAATGTCGAGAAATTTTCATCGAAATTTGCATTTTTTTATAAAATCGTCTGCCAAAAATCAATTTTCATTTAATTTTTTTTCCTTCGTCCAATACCTAGTTTATTGTCTTTACTAAAACACGTATTTTTAATTTTTATTTCAGATGATCCTGAAAGAAGTTCTGCTGACAACGCGGAGGCACCTTTTTTCCGAGGGACTGCCGGAAATGGCGTCGTAATGACCGCCATTTTGATATTTTTTTTTGACAATTTTGCAAAATGTTTATTAAATATGTATCTTTTAAATAAAAAAAAAATTCATTAAAATATTTCATTTTTTATATGTAAAAAAAATTATTGAAAAAAGGCTGTTTTTTGCCCGAGGAAACCCATGTTTAACACTTAATACTAGCTCCTGCTCAATGCGAGTGAGTGTTGTAAGTCCTTAAGTGATTTTTGGCCATAGTACAGCCTAGCTTTGATGGTTGATTCATCTGTGTGGTGCATATTGTTACGAAAGTCTGCTCTCGCCCATTCCTTCAATTCTTGTCGTGTGTTTTCATCTGACACTAATTTTATAGTTCTGAATATATCTCTGTACAGTTTGATGACTTCTTGACGAATCATAAACTGAAAAGATAGATACATTTTATGTTTACAATTTCCATTTATAACATGAAAGCGTATTATTAAGAAAGTAACTTTAGCCCTAGCATAGACTAGAGAAATTCTTCAGCGTTAGAATAGTACGCTTTTATAAAGCGACAAGTCTTGACTAGTCTTGACTGGACCCGGTGGGTCCACTAGTTATATATAGATTATGAAGTACTCCTAATGTTGCAATATAAATATTAATTACCTCTTACCTGTTTAAGATTCAAAGTTGTTTTAGGAAGTTTTGACATCGCTGATAAAAATGATTAAAAACTAATTATAGACAACATACAACACTGTAATAATTGTTATTTATAATCATTCTATTTGGCATAAATATTATCTGTAATAGGGAACAATTGTTGAGGTGGTAAATATTTTATATTTAGTTTTTATTGTGAACAAAAAATAAATAATCTCATGTAAATCATATGTTTTTGACATTTCACCTTAATCTACTAAGCTGAGAATGACAATTGCAATATTCGACTGACAGATTGACTGAACAACAGAAAATATTTATTACACTATTTTGTTAAATTTTGCATTTCAAACTAATTTTATTGTTTTGTATTTGTCAATAAAAAAGGACAATTCAACCTATAGTCTGTTATCATGGATAATAATCATCCGGCCAACAAGTTTTACATGTGAACTTAGTGATTACTTGCTCAGTGGCTATTCACTCGGATGCAATATGACGTTTCAAAATTATAATAATAAGTTTGGAAACAACTGAAAATTGACCGGATAAATATATACATACTTTATATTCCTTTTTTTTAATAGGAAATAATAAATTGCCAATACTACCACCTGCGCTAACAGTTTTCGCTCGCGGAGCACCAGTAAAGAATAGGAGGAGCTTGAAATTAATTAACACAACGTCACAAACTCATTAGGAATCAAAAATTCAAAAAAATAATTTATATTATAATAAAAACATTTTAGCCGCTTATGACCGTCAAATTTTTTACATTATAATTTTATTTTTTTCCCTAATATCTTAATTTCCTGAATTAAATGCGATACGTGGAGACGATATTGTACAATGTAAGCCCCTTGCTTACAACGTACAATGTGAAGTCGTCATCACGATCACCGTCATAGCTCCCATTACTAACAATCCCTTTACAATTTATGAACGGATGATGTGATTATCGATTATACTGCAAATGTTTGTACACGTATATACCACCAAAGGGTATGTTTCTAAATGCTTTTAAAAACACAACTATTTTAATACATTCAGCATATATTGTCATTTCGTAACTAAATGTCTATAGAAGGCGTTAACAACTACAACAGCAGTCTTTTAACATGGGCAGAGATTTTCTTTTTAATTCTATATTCTTCAAATGTGTCCAAACATTTGAAGAAGGTTTCCTCTTATAGGATACCTATATAATTAAATCTAATTTGCTATTTAATCTAGGGGTTTTGCTTATTACATTACTTCCGATGATTGCAGGTTCAATTCTTACGATACAAACTACTGTATTAATTAACAATTGTTTTCTTTAGTCGGGATGTTTTCTTTATAGGATTATATTATGTAAAGTATATTTTTACATAACATTTATTATCTATGTAAATGTTCTGTTTCTGTAACGTAATTCTTTATTAATCCAAATTATTATTGTATACATTCACTTCATGTATATAAAATATAATCAATGGATGCTGTCTATAACTAGTAGGATGTATTACTTAAATAGTTTAGTTCATCAATGTAACATTATATTTTCTGTTTGACATCCATTAGACCTAATAAATAAAAATAAAAAATTCTATAAGTTGTTTAGTACCTATAATACAATTATCCTAGGTTACTATTATCACATATAAGATAATATTATATATCTACTATTACAAAATAGTTATCATTCAATTTATTATTTCTCAGTATAGGGTCAGATTGTCAATACGGCCAGGATCCAAATATGATTGTGGGCCTCCCCTACAAATCGCGGTGAATTTCCTATGATATATTAAATGAACTTACATTACTCTCATACCATTATCTTTCGCTAGTAGTCAGTCTTCATTTCGTTTACAGAAGAAATCACCATTCCTTTATCATTAAAATAAATGAAAAATATTGGAAGAAAGAAAATGTCATAATAATATGGTAGAGCTAAATATTATAAATAAATTAAGTTGATTTCAGTTAACACTGTATACAATAAAAAGTAAGATTACGTTAATTTACATATTTTGCACAATTTGTCTACATTTTATTGTTAAACAGGTACTTTATTTAGTTTTATTAATCTATACGTTTCAACATCTCAAGACTGACTTCAAATGTACTTACTTTACACGTAACTATATACATATAAATAACGTACGGTCTACGTAAACCGGAAGCTTAATTGTCTACGAACGCACGCCCTAAAACTCCGCCTCGTAACTCGCTGAAAGGCGGGAAAGTTTTTAGTTTCTGTAGAGTACCTATTGCTCTATACTACAAAGTTAAGACTGTATACATATCATACATTATTTCACTATTTGACATAATTTAATACAATAATCATATACTGTTATAATTATTAAAAAGGGATTGGTTGCACTTCCCGTTTTTCGTAGTTGAAGGCACGCACCGCTACGGGCTACGAGATTTAAAGTGACTACGACACCAGTCGCTCTGTGGACGCCGTCTTTGAATGACGTGTGTTTTCGCCTCGCAATACATACGTCAAAAATGTTTACGCGCACAACCAACTTAGAATTATAAAAGAGTAAAGTTAAAAAACTGTACTGTTATTATTTTTATTATATTGCAATTGTGTTTGAATGAACTTTTTGAACTATTTCAATCATGGACAACAAAACTTCGACGAGTTCATCCTCGCCGCCAAAACCCCAAGTGAAAAAGGAGAATGAAGAAGAAATCAAGGTGAGATTTAATTTCAGACGTTTTCTCGACATTGACGTGAATTTCCGTTGGAAATCCATCATCATGTTACGGCTCCGTGTTATTGGCAACCGTCCTGTTTCATCTTGTCTCGTAATAAGAGACGTCGGAGTCGTATTTTTAAATTCGATATTTTGTTCGTCAGGTCACGAGGGGGCCTCTACAAATGTTGAACACCGCTCGCCGAATAAATTATTCCATATACGGTTACAATATTAATTACATTTTGCGATACACAATAAAACGCGTGTAATATCACATTTTCGAGGCCTTTTCCAGCCATTAAAGTGTGTAATGCGATACCTGAAGCGCGCTCGGATCGCTGTAACCAGAGTCGCTGGATGTTTTGATAATAGATATAGGCAGTGGTAGTGTGTGCGTGCGTAACTACGCCCGCGCTTTACATGTGTGAGTGCGGGTAATTTTAGACGTTCCTTTGCTCAAAACGTAACTCGAGACCGTCCCAGGCCACAAGCCGACGCTTCAATTTATTGTATTCATCTGATTATTATCTTTGGATGCATGGTTAAGCGGTGGAATCAACGATTGTTGTCTATGGAATGCCTCCACTCTTTCGCACTATTATTTTGGCGCCACAAAAATAGTTTGACATGTCAATAACCCCATTGGCGGTGTCCACGCGTTGTGACGTCACGGGACACCCGCGACGATTTGTGTGCGAAAGTTTGAGGTCAATCAAATTTATAGTATTACCGCTGAGATCGTCCTAGATAGCTGGGTATCTTGTAATGGGTTTTATTTTAGTAATTCGCACGATATTTAAAATAGAGTAGATATGTACCAGGCGACCACAAATAAAATGACAATCTACGAAAGATTGTCATTTTATTTGAAATTAAAAAAAAAATATTCGTAAATTCCACAGTCTGCTAAAAACAAATACGCAGTAGTCTAACAATGGATACAATGTAGTGACTAACCTATGCTAATTCTAACAAAACAACGCAAAATACCTACAGTATAAAAGTCATAGTAAACAATTGAACAAGAATAAAAAAATCAAGAAATACGAGATATCTTGTCAGCTCCGGTCTAAATTCCAAACTGTCTTGAACAAATCGATGCTTATAGTACCATACTATAGATATGTCATCAGCACAGAGTACTTTATTATATGTCATCAGATCAAAACACACTAACAACTTTACTACTGAAAAGCTTTTCTAAAATATTCGACCATAAAACAAATAATAATAATAATCTCAGTACAATTCACATCATAGAAACCCAAATTAGAGCTTGCGTTATGGGTACTAGAATACTGATACAAATACTTACATAGATATATTTTTTTCGTAAATACATAGAAAAAACCCAGACTGATACAAACAATCAAATCAAATCAGATCAAAATGTCTTTATTCATGAGGGTGTATTTCAGATAAGTCAAATCTACTGTCAAATAGGTACACAGAATAGAGAAGTTTGTACTACATAATATAAAAAATGAAATAAGTAATTAACTAAAAACAAATTAAGAAGAAACATGTTTAATTTAAATTATACAGGACGTAGTAGGTAACCAATATCATAATAATAAACGAAGACACAACCCCATTTAGTTCCAAACTAAGCCGAACTTGTATTATGAGAACACACCTGAAAAAAATACTTAAAATACATTTTTTTGTAAATACATATATATTATTTTATTTAAACTTTATTAACCAAGAAATTATGGTATAAATCGCGGACTTAATGCTATAGGGATTCTCTACCAGTCAACATATTATGCATAGAAAACACCCACAGCAATACCAACAGTCATACAAATACAAATGTTTGCACCTTGCAAGGAATCGAACCCGCGACCATCGGAAGTAAAGCGGTGTGTTAAACCACTCCACCACCGAGGCCGTACTCTACCACACTGAAAAGTAAAACACGTTTAACACGATATTTCAACTGTGTAAGCTACAATTATATTGTTCTGAAGTTCCGATATTGCTGGCTGGAAGCTCGGACCCGTTATTAGGGCTTCATAAATAGCATGCATTTCTCATGTAAATGTAATAAAGTAGATGCGGAAATAGGCACTTTATGACGCGGCGAGACGGCGGACGGCGGCCGGAACTAGGGTTACCATCGGTCCAGATATATCCGGACTTACGGACCACTTTTAGAACTTTTTGCGACAGTTCAATTTATTTGAATATTTCACTTAATGGTTATTTTATGTAAAATATTCATTATTAGAATGTTAACAGTTCCGTGGGATTATTTTTTAATTTAAAAAATAATCACAAAATAATAACTCTTGTCGTAACTACTGCGGAAAAGAATTGCAATATGTATAAACAAATCAAGTACTAACATTCAAAGCGAATGTTCTTGAAGACTATCACATTAGGCTCTCTTTTTATTATATAAATAAACATATGAGTTAAAAAAAAAGTATGAAATCAGTAATATTGTTTTTTGAACTTGTTGGTCATGTCACATGTGTTGATATACCATTAGTGATGGTCACACTGCCCATCACTAATGGTATAACAAAAGAAAACGCTTCGAATACACCAAGTTTCAAATTCTGATATGTAGTTTCGAAATTATGGGGAAATATGTGAACAAACATATGTGCATGCTGTTTCAAATCATAACTCTTTTTTGCTTCACCGTAGTTGAGTAAAATGGCTTCTCGAACCCATCCCAAGAGCCCAGTTAGGATGATAATGGTACGGTGTACACTCCTGCGCTAAAGGTTTACACTGGCGGGGCACCAGTGGAGGATGATAAGATGACCATGAGGTTTTTTTTTAAGGATGATAATGGAATAGAGCACCCGCCCGCGCTAACGGTTTACGCTGGCGGGGCACCAGTGGAGGATGATAAGATGAACATGAGGCCAGGTCAGTTAGCCTATCGTGACAAATTCACCAGGAATTTATCATGATGGTTTCCAGGGAGAACCGTGTGGAGGTCAACCTGACATGGTACATTGCTAGTAATGGGGTGATGAGTCCACATTACTAACAATCGCCTTTCCCCCTTAGCATGAGGTCAGGTCAGTTAGTCCAACGTGGCAAATTCACTAGGGGAACCGCGTGGAGATCGACTTGACATGATAAAATACTTGCAGTGTGGTTGTTGGTGCATACAAAATTTAACAAAATTAATAAGAAACATTTCTTCCCTAGACTAGTTGAGTAAAACAGCTTCTCGATCCAGAGGTTCAATCTGAGACTCCAGAATCAGTATGATAATGGAATGGTGCACTCCCCTGCGATATCGGTTTACGCTGACGGGGCACCAGTGGAGGATGATAAGATGAGCATGAGGTCAGGTCAGTTAGTCCATCGTGGCAAATTCACTAGGGGAACCGCGTGGAGGTCGACTTGACATGGTAAAATGCTTTTAGTGGGGTTATTTGTGCATACAAAATTTAACAAAATTAATAAGAAACTTTTCTTCTCTAGACCTTTTATTCGTACCTTTATAATTTATGATTTTTTTTTGTTAAATACCCGTTTGATTCTGATAAAATGCACCTTATGCAACAGTCTGGGGTACTAACTGTTACATAGGTTACCAAAACATCTAATACTAAATTTCTATCTAAATGCAAATAGTCTAGAAAATACATTGATGTATTATCTACCAATGTAACCCCACGTTATATTTGTAGACGTAAATTGACGGAACATATTATGATTTATAACGGCTAGTAACACGCGACCAGTATTATTTTTAACCGATTTCAAAATGTTGTTAGTATTCGTTTCTAATTCTGTTAGGATTGAAGTCGAAATTTCTTCTATCTCATAACACAAGCTTTAGCTAACTTAAGTTTACCTATAGGGTTTGATGGCGCTGTGTGAATTGTCTTGAGATTATTATTTAGGTCTTAATCTGGTAATACATGTCTCTATCAAAGTAGATAATATATAATATCTTTACTAAAATAAACTTGATTTAAAAATATTAAATAATAGTTTTTTATTCTACAGCCACGTTATTGTAAAAATTCCAAGAAACTCCGCTTGTACTATTTTCAAACAGAATACAATACTGTTTCTTTGATTTCAATACGAGTACAAACTTTCAAGTGATACTTACTAACATTATAAGCGCGAAAGTTACTCTGACTGTCTCTATCACGCCAAACCGACTAAATCAATTTAAATGAAATTTGGTACACCGATAGTATAGACCCTGAGGCTATTTATTAATGCGTAAAAGTCTTGTAAGGAGTTAAAAGGGGAGATGAATGGTTGTATCGAAGTATCATGATTTTTAAAGCTAACATGATTTTTGAAACTTATTTTTTATGCTATAGATATATACATGGTTTTACAAACTTTGAATGTCATATTTATATACATAAATATGACATTCAAAGTTTGTAACTGTTATCCTTAAGGGGGTAAAAAAATGAATATATTTCATACAAACAGGAAATTCGTAATTTTTGAAGTTAGAACGATGAAACTTTTTTTTATTTCTTGGGTTAGTTTATTGAATATTTTTTCTTTTAAATTCTAAGATTTGTAATGCAACCGTGCAATAATAAATTATAGTAAACCGCTTTTTGTTACACATTACATTGTTTTTAGTGTTGTACGAGTAAATACTACGTAACAATGTTAAGAAAGGTCAAGTGTGATGAAAATACTATACGCTATTATAGAATCACTGCGTGTGATACAACGCGCGAAGTCGAATCGTGTTTTTGTTTGCCAGTTTCCCAGTAAATGCCACCAATGTTATGCCAGAGAGCCCTTTATTTATTAATCTTCCACTGAAACGCTCTTCAAAACTATTTTAAAAGAGAACTATTTTTTTATATTTTTTACAGTAATGCGTAAACTCAAATGATATGTCATCGATTTAAAAAATTCTTGTATTTCTGTAAATATCTACATTATCAGAGAATAGTGTAGAGTAGAGTAATGAGAGCTGGCAGGATTTTTGAAATGGATCGTAGTGTACAAATATGTAATATTATGTTATATGTGGCATAA